TGCCCTGAAGATGGTTTGCCATGGCACGCCTTAAAGGGCCACTCACCAGGTTTGAGGATTTTGAGCTGACAAGTGCAATGCGTAGACGAGGCGTTCATGATCACGTCTGCCAAAATTTGCAACACTACGCGCCACGGAAATGGGTCAAATTTCAAGATGAAAGCTGCTCCCCCTCCCCTTTGCCGGCGCACACGTAGAGAAGGAGGGCATGACGTGGGCGTAGGAATGGCCCTGCTTACACGGCAATGCTGTGACGTTGGTCTTTTACGTAGACGACTCTGTTCTGACGTTGTCAACAGTATACCACGTGACATGGCAAAAATTATTTAACACAACATGCGTAGTTTTCGTATTTGTTGCTTTATGAGATGAATAAGACTTGAAACAAATAATCAGACGCAATAAAATATTGTGGGTGTTTTTCTTACATTTTTTCCCGTGAAATGCTATACGACATGCGGGGCTAATGTGCCAGCGTTTCGCATGCGTTTGGGTCCCCGCGGTCAGGGCATTGAACAGACGACCACCGTGGAACGCTTCTACGCGTTTGCACACTCGTTGTGCTCATCTACTCTACCACGCCTAAGCCAGCGTTTCCAAACAGTCCTGCAGAAACAGGCAGAAGGCCGCAAAATAACGCTGGTCAACAAAGCAACACCGCTCGCGTGCACGGGGGCTGGGCTTGTTCGGGCACGTCATGGGCACGTCACCTTTTGGTCAGGTGCTGGAGAGGGTGGGGAAGAGATTTGGCTTGCGAAGGCTACGCGGAAGAGCGGCAAGGGTTTAGAGCTCGCTTCCTCTCACCCTCGTTTCGCGCTGCTTCAAGAAACCTGTTTTCTCCACTCGTAATGAACCGATTCGAAATATTTTGTGGCAAAACGTTTCTCATCGGACACCCAACAACTTCCACTGTCTAAATACAATTCGATATGGGGCCTGGTGAGTGGCCCTTTAATGATGTCGTCTCGCATCACAGATGGTACGACCAGGGCGGTTCGAGCGTTGGGATCAAAGCTCCACTTGTACTGGACGTCACGAAGAAAAAATGATGAAATCGTGCGCCTGAATGTTCGTGGTGGCTGTTCAAGCTTGTCCTCGAGATAGTCGATGATCGGGCGAAGTTCTATGTCATCACGCTGTTTTTGAGCCAAGTCGAAGGCTGTGACGGCCATGAGGAAACTTTCACCACCAGTTTGGTCAGGATGAATCGACTCGACTGGCACACGTGATAGGCAGTAAGCATTGGTGTGCTTGCGTCCTGACTTGTAAACCACCGTAACGTCAAATTCTTGTAAGCGGAGACTTCATCGAGCTAGGCGGCCTGAGGGGTCGAGACCTGCAAGTCAGCATAAGGAATGGTGGTCGGTAACTACTTTGAATGGTCGCCCATACAAATACGGTCAGAACTTGGATATGGCACCGACACGACAGCTAGGCATTCCTTTGCTGTGGTGTAATAGTTTATTTCAGCTGATGATAACGTACGACTAGTGTAGGCGATCGCTCGCTCGATGCATTACTTGCATCTGTATGCACTTCAGTGTCGGCATTTTCATCGAAATGACCCAAGAGGAGTCTCGAGGCGTTGTCGTAGCTCGCAAAAAGCTTCGTGCTGTTCCAGGGCCCACACAAAAGCAACGTTGTCTTTCGTGAGTTGGTTTAAGGGTTCTGCTATTTTGGAAAAACTCGGAACGAAGCGACAATAGTACGCACAAAGGCCCAGAAAACGGCGTACGTCGTGTTTGTTCATCGTATTTGGGAAGGCAACAACAGCCAGTGTTTTCTCGAGGTCTGGGCGAATTCTGTCACTGTTGACGACATGGCCGAGAAACTTGAGCTCCTTGTAGCGGAAGTGGCATTTTTCGGGTTTGAGCGACAGGCCAGCTGTTCGTAGCGCCTCAAGTACTGCACGAAGTCACTGAAGGTGCTGCTCGAAAGTCGATGAAAAAACGACGTCATCTAAATAGAGAAGACACGATTGCCACTTGAGACCGGACAAAACTGTGTCCATCATTCATTGAAAAGTCGCGGGAGCAGAGCACAGTCCAAAAGGAAGCATCTTGAATTTGAAGAGCCCGTCAGGAGTAATGAAGGGGATCTTTTCCCGGTCACGCTCATCAACCTCAATTTGGCAGTAACCACTGTGTAGATCCATGGATGAAAAATATCGGGTGTTTCTAAGGCGGTCCAGTGAGTCGTCGATGTGAGGAAGCGGGTAAACGTCTTTCTTTGTCACGGTGTTCAGTTTGCGATAATCAACACAGGTAACAGTGTAGCAAACAGCAGAACAGCTTCGATCGAGCAGCGCGAGTTCGTAGTCGTCCTTTCTGCCCACCAAATCCTTCGACACGCACAAGTAATGATGACACTAGCCATGTAACAGCCAGAAAATCACTACATGCTCGTGTCAATATGTATACAAATACAGAAGGTCTTACTTGTCTTGAATTTTATTTTTTTATTTTTAGATGGGCCCAAGTAGTTGAAGCTGCTGTTTCTATTCGTGTGTGCGCAGCTGCGGCACATGTTCATGTCATTAATTCGTTTGAAGGACCTTTGTCAGTACCACGCCAGCCCCTTCGCTGCACTTGTGAATGCTGGTTTTTCTGAAGGATAGGCATCTTGCTCTGTCTATCTGTTAATCGCAGCTGTCTTGAAAAGGGCCCGCCGCTGCATCTGGACAGGAAGGACACACTTTTTCCAGCCTCCTGTATTCACGCATACAAAAAATGTCATGTACGGGCAGAAATATTTTCGGGGCAGTGCTTAACAACAAAAAGAGGTGAATCCATCTAGGTGTGACCGCGAAATCAAGTGCTATAAGAAAGCAAGAAAACATGAGGGCAGTGACCACAAAGCCATAATCGTGCTTTGGTGATCATAGAGAAATCAATCAGTACAACATTACGAGATCGGCCTTTTTATTTTCAGTTTTTAGCTGAGGACAACTGCGCCAACCAAACATGCATCTATATTGAATGACGCAAAATTTGCTTTTCTGGGTGTTATTGCGTGGGTTGTTTCATTGTTTTGCACTATTTTTGTTTTCATTATTTTATTTAGATATGACTATGACGTTTGACCATATTTGTGGAGATTCTTGTATAGCGCGCGCTCTATTTGGTCGTGTTTTTTTTTTTCATTGGAGTTGCATGGCAACGACGTTTCTATCTTCAGCCTTTGGACGTCTACTTATAGGCTTTTGAATTGTATTCAGTATTTCTTGCATATCTATTTTTTCATTTTTGTGGTCGATTAGCAGATGCTTATTCACTGTTGTTGCATCTCTTTATTCTTTCACCACAAGTGATATTTTCGGTATTTTTAATCTATACGTATTACGATATAGCAATCATGTGAGCATACATAGACACGGTGTTGTGCAAATAAAATGAACTTGTCAACACGTACGTGATGCTGCCGAGTGTTTCTTCGTGTCCTACTTTATTGACGCTGCTGAAGAACTGGTGAAATTCAATTTCACGGTGTAGTAAAAATATGTGTATGCACATGATAATAATAAGTAATAAGTAATAACAAGTAATATATTACTTATGTACTCATTATAACCATGCATAGATATTTTTCATTGTATTTGTGAGGGTTATGATGCGGATACATTTTATCACAAAGCCAAGTAATTTCATCCGTGAATGACTCACGAAAAAAAAAGCATTATGTATGTTAGTTACAATAAGACCCGCTCATATGCAAAAAGAAAAAGGAAAATGAGGCATTTCTATTTGCACAGTGGGGCTCGAAAAGCGAGAGTGAAGCCGCTATTACCGCTACAGTGGCGAAATAGCATTGAACATCGTATTAATCAGCAAGTAAATTAAAAAATATAGAAAAGCTTGAATGCTTCCAACTTCACACACTGTTACTGCAGCGGCTGTATGGAGGAGCACTCATCCAAGCATTGGTTACTTAAAATATTACCCACCTTCCGTAAATCAGCCACAGTGAGACAAATTCATTACACAACACACATAAAATTTGCGCACAAGCCGTAACTTTGACTTTTCTTACGCACAAAACAGCAACACCCTATAGCCGCGCCTTTCAACCCACCAGAAAGCTTCAGGTGACGCTGCGAGCCACGCTGCCTGTTGGCAACAACATGCAGTGCGTCACTCTCAGCCCCTCAGTGAGCACACTGCCCCATTCTAGTACACTGTAACTTCAGTCACATGGACTCCCTACTCGTCACCTTCTCACTTACCCTGCGGGAGCACGGTGCATTCCTGTGGCAGGTTGAGTGGCCCTGCTCTCAGTGCTCTGCCCGCCAATCCTCAGGGCTCTGCCCCTCTACTCCTGTTTTCTCAATGGAATTCTCCATAAAATTTCACTTCAACACACATCTTGTGCTCTGCAGGGAAGCCAGAATGTGACACTCTTTCGTGCTAACAACTTGAATAATGGCTTCTTTCGTGATCTTGGCATTATCTTTTTGTTAACAGCGAAACAGCATTTTCTGTATGCAAACCAACAAGAATATTCGGTGAAAATTTAGACATGTTCTGCTACAAGTCATCCAAATTTCGTTTTGCTTGCTTCGAACCTGCTCCAAAACAGATTTTTTTCATTCTCCAAAAATTGCTACAAATCCTTAACTTGCTCGACCACCACTGATGAAGGTTAAAAAAGGAATTACAAATCAGTACCGGAGACCTTCGAAACATTAAATTTTTTCATACACAAGTTATTAATCAGGAAAGGACAGCTTTTTAAATAAGGGCGAATTTCGCCAAGATTTTTGATGCTGATATGCATATCAGACCTTGCATCTCAAATGCCACTTGAGAGTTCTATACCACTGTATTGGATTCCGGCGAGGTATATGTTCTTTTTTATTGAAGTAATATTTGCACCAGCTCCTGTGGATTCCTGAAACTGGGGAACTGAGGGGAAATATATTTGAAGGGCAGATAGTGTGCAGTGTGTGTAATATTTTGCATTAGCAAGTTCGAGCACACAGTCTGCTTTTTATCTGTTCGCAGGCAAGGCTCGCATTCGAGTGCAGATCTCGGCAGCACATTCCATGGAGGACATAGACCGCACTGTGGATGCCTTCATCACAGTAGGCAAGAAGTTCGGAGTGGTTCCGTAGTACCCAGATCTCAGCCCATTACAAGGAATATCGATTGGCTTGAGCTTTATCTGCATCACCGTCCACCAAAGGTCGCTTTTGTATGGTTTTGGGTTTAGGACTACTGAAAACGGCCTTCTAATCTGTCGGCAGACCCAGAACTGCTTGGATACACTATTGCTTTTCACATTTTTTATTACCAACTGTGCTGGGTTCAAATATACGTAGTTTTAACATTAGTGAGTGACCTGTATTTTCAATCAATATACGACACGTCCCTCTCAATGAAACTGGACATTTCAGTACTGGTGAAAGCAACCATCCCTTGATGTTTTGTTTTTTGCCTGAACACAAGTTGATATTGTCACGATGAGTCACAAGTACTGGGAGATATATTGAACAACCGGGTAGCTAGCTCTAGGACGATGCGTCAGTCGTGGCTGTCTCTCGAGCCGAGAAGAGACACGCAATTCTTCTTCCTTTCCTCCAGATGGTAGAGCCACTCTTGCAGTCGACCCACTACGTGTGGGTGGCATTATCCCCCCTTTCGAAAAGAAAAAAAAAAGTCCCAAAAGGGGGAAAGAAAAGTACATAGCACCACCACGATGTTACGACATAGGCACGTGGAAAAAAAGAAATTGGAAATTCGGATAAAGTAAAAATAGAAATGAACGAGCGTGCCAATATAGGAAAAATCAGTGAACGAAGAAGCAAGTTCACAAAAATAAATAAATAACACAAAGAACGCTGTACGGCAAGAAAAAAGTTATGAACAACGCGCAATAAATGGTTTCATGCGCAACACATGAACGACATCCGAGCTCGGTCGTGTCCTACTCCGTGCCTGCGATGTTGAGTCCGGAACCACTTCATAGTTCACGTCACTGACGCGACGTAACACTTTATAAGGGCCAAAGTACCGGCTCAGTAACTTTTCACTAAGGCCACAGCGGCGGACGGGCGTCCACACCCAAACTTGGTCTCCGGGGTTGTAAAATACTTCACTGTGGCGGATGTTATAGCGCCGTGCGTCTGCCTGCTGTTGCTGGCCGATGTGTAGTCGCGCGAGCTGCCGGGCTTCCTCAGCACGCTCTGCGAATTCATCGGCGTCAGTTGTCAACTCGTCTTCGTCTTGACACGGTAGCATAGAGTCCAGCATGGTCTGCACTTCGCGGCCGTAGAGAAGCCGAAATGGCGTGAATCACGTGGTCTCTTGCACGGCGGTATTATACGGGAAGGTCACGTAAGGTAAGATCCGGTCCCATGTTTTGTGCTGTACGTCGATGTACATTGAGATCATGTCTGCAATGGTCTTATTCAGTCGCTCGGTAAGTCCGTTGGTTTGCGGGTGGTACGCAGTTGTCTTTCGGTGTCTGGTGTTGCTCAGTTTGAAAACCTCGTCCATAAGCTGCGCCGTGAATGCCGTCCCTCTGTCCGTTATTATAGTGGAAGGAGCACCGTGTCGTAACACGATGTGGCGCATGAAAAATTGTGCTACCTCAGAAGCCGTGGCTCGTGGGATCGCCTGCGTCTCAGCGTAGCGTGTCAGATAGTCGGTCGCGACGATCACCCATTTGTTGCTGTCCGCAGATAGGGGGAATGGCCCGAGAATGTCCATGCCGACTTGGTCGAACGGCGTGCAGGGTGCTTCAATCGGCTGAAACAAACCAGCTGGCTTAACAGATGGTTGTTTTCGACGCTGACATTCCCGACAGCTCTTGACGTACTTCTTGACGCTTGCCGAAAGTCCTGGCCAATAGTACCTCTCACTCACTCTGGCAAGTGTCCGTGAGTAGCCCAGATGACCGGATGTGGGTTCGTCATGGCAAGCGAAAAGGACGTCGTCTCGCATGTCTCGAGGAACCACCAGGAGGTAGGTACGGTTGTTCGAACGAGCGTTCTTCTTGTACAGCACACCCTCTCGAAGGCAGAATGACGGCAACGAGCGGGATAAATGACGTGGTATGATTGTGTCCTGGCCCTCTAAATGATCGATGATCGGACGAATCTCTGCGTCATCCCGCTGCAGTTTACTCAAGTCTGATGAGCTAATGGCGCCCAGGAAGCCTTCGTCTTCCTCTGCTTCCTGACTGATGACATGAAGGGGTGCGCGTGACAGTGTGTCAGCGTCTTCATGCTTACGGCCGGACTTATGGACGATGGTGACGTCAAATTCCTGCAGCCGCAAGCTCCACCGTGCTAGCCGTCCTGAAGGGTCGCGCAGGCTTGCCAACCAGCAGAGGGCATGGTGGTCCGTCACTACCTTGAAGGGACGACCATAAAGGTACGGGCGAAACTTGGTGATTGCCCACACGACTGCGAGGCACTCTTTCTCCGTAGTGGAATAATTCGCCTCGGCACGGGATAGAGAGCGGCTGGCGTAGGCTATCACCCTTTCGATGTCGTCTTGACGCTGAACGAGCACTGCACCAAGCCCAACGTTACTAGCGTCAGTATGGACCTCCGTGTCAGCATCATCGTCGAAATGAGCGAGAACGGGTGCTGATTGCATGCGCTGTCGCAGTTCATCAAAAGCTGCTTGTTGCTCGTTTTCCCAGACAAACGGCGTGTTGTCCCTTGTGAGACGAGTCAGAGGTTCTGCTATCTGTGAAAAGCCATGAATGAACCGGCGATAGTAGGCGCACAAACCAAGGAAGTGCTGGACGGCTTTCTTATCGACAGGAGCTGGTAATTCGGCAACAGCGGCAAGCTTGTCTGGATCGGGCCGGACTCCTTCAGCGCTAACTACATGTCCAAGAAATTTCAGTTCTTCATAGCCGAAGTGGCACTTCTGTGGCTTTAGAGTGAGGTCCGCCGATCGGATAGCCTCCAGCACGCTGCGCAGGCGCTGTAGGTGCTGCTCGAACGTGGCAGAGAAGACCACCACATCATCAAGGTAGACAAGACAAGTCTGCCACTTGAGCCCTGTGAGGACAGTGTCCATCATTCGCTGGAAAGTTGCCGGCGCTGAACACAAGCCGAAAGGGAGTACTCGAAATTGGTATAGGCCGTCTGGAGTCACGAAGGCTGTCTTTTCGCGGTCTCGCTGATCTACCTCGATTTGCCAGTACCCGCTTTTGAGGTCGAGAGAAGTGAAATAATGGGCACGACGAAGTCTATCCAGCGAATCGTCGATACGCGGTAGCGGGTACACATCCTTTTTGGTCACGTTGTTGAGCTTTCGGTAATCGACGCAGAAGCGTAGCGATCCGTCTTTCTTTTTAACAAGCACGACTGGAGATGACCACGGGCTCTTGGATGGTTCGATAACGCCATCGTCAAGCATCTCGCGAACTTGCGTACGTATCGCTTCACGTTCTTTAGCCAACACGCGGTAGGGGTGCTAGTGTATTGGGCGTGCGTCCTCGTACGTGATGATCCTGTGCTGAGTGATGGACGTCTGGCGGATCTTTGAGCAACTTGCGAAGCAAGACCTGTACTCGAACAAGAGCGCTCGCAGCGCAGTCTGGTTATCGGTGGACAGATCAGGATTGATGTCAATGTTGCTCATTGATGTGTCTGCGTTATCCACTATTTCTGACGTGGGACAGTTGGTTACGTTTGCTACTTCGTGGGCAAACGCTATCGAAGTGCCACGGAAAAGGTGTCGATGCTCGTTGCTAAAGTTGGTAACGAGCAATTCAGATCGGCCGTCGCGAACGTGAATTACACTTCTCGCTACACATATGCCTTGCTGCAGGAGGTGTTCTAAATTTGTCTCGGCCACCACATCGCCATCGCTCAAACCACAGCATCTTACGTCGACTAGAACACTGGCTCGGGGAGGAAGCGTCACGCTCTGTTCAGAAATACGGAGTACGTCGACACGCATTCCGTCATCCTGCACGTTGATTGCTCGCTGGGCTGAGAACGTGACGCGGCGCTCTTGCAGATCAATGATAGCTCCATTTTCCTGTAGAAAATCAACTCCCAGAATGACGTCACGGGAGCATTCACGTAGAACAAGGCAGCTTGCTACGAATGTGTACCCTTGAATCTGTACTCTAATTGTGCAGGCACCCAGTGGAGTTACGACATGGCCACCAGCTGTCCGAATCTGCGAGTTATGCCACGGCGTGATTACTTTCTTCAGCTGCGTTGTCAGTTTCCCGCTCAGTATGGAATAGTCTGCGCCGGTGTCCACTAACGCATTAACTACACAACCATCAATTGTTACTGCTATGTCGAGTGAAAGCCGGCTATCCTTTGCAGCAGCAGGTGATGTCGGACCAGTTTCTGTACGGTTCTGCGTCAATAGGAGGTCTTCAGCGCTTCGACGTTCAGCGACCCCGCCCCCAGAGGTCGCTTCGGCTAGTTTTCCCGGCGGGGGCTGGGAGATCGTGCGGTAGAATACCGCTGGGGCATTGATGAAAATCGCCTCGGTGATGGCGAGCGCGACTGGCGCCCGGCAGACGGTGGTTCATGCTGCTGGGAGAGGTAGTTTTGGATGTCGCGTGGTCTCTGGCCGTAACGGGGGGGCGGCGAGTACGCAGAGAAGCCGCGAAGCCCAAGACGGCGATAAGGACACTGGCGGTACAAGTGATCAGCTTCTCCGCAATGAAAGCATAGAGGCCGGTGATCGGGTGTGCGCCAGACATCAGACTTCCGAGGATACGAGTGCCGATCGTCGATGTACTGGACCGGTTGTACCGAACGATGGGCAACAGAAGCACCACGGCCAAAGGGCAGGGGCGGTGGCGTGTACAGGCCTTCGTAGTATGGCATGTGCTGCGCTGACTCGAGTGAAACTGCAGGGACAGGATGAACGAACAAGGGCGGCGATGCAGCAGGGCGTTTCAGGGCTTCCGCGTAGGTTGTCTTACGGTGGTATTCAGCAGGAGCTGGCGCAGCTGTGTCAGGAGGCAAGGTGTCCCGGAGGGCCTGGTGCAGCTCATCTTTGATGACGGTTGCAATAGAGCTAACCGTAGAATTAGGTGTTACACCAGCCTTTTGCAACTCCTCACGTACGATATTACGGATGAGTTCACGTAAGGAGTCATTGCTGGTCCCAGCGGCGACGAAAATTTCAGCAGAGGACATGCCTCTGACTTGCCTGTCGTATTGGTTTGATCGCTGCTGTAGCATTTTTTCCATTGTCACGGCTTCAGACAAGAACTCCGCGACCCTCTTCGGAGGGCTTCGCACGAGGCCGGCGAAAAGCTGGTCCTTGACACCACGCATCAAGTGACGCAACTTCTTGTCCTCCGTCATTCTTGAATCTGCCCGTAGGAAGAGACGC